CAACCTGGGCTACATAATGAGTTCAAGACCAGCCTGCAGTATACAGCAAGACCCTGTTTAAAACAAAACAAAACAAAACAGCTGTTAGGAAAGGGGATAAATCCATTAAAATTACAACAGACCTCTTCACACAAAATGTAATGGCCGGGAGGGCTTGGAGCAAAGTGTTACAAGCCCTAATAGAAAACAGTTTCCAGCTCTGACTTATTTATCCTGTAAAATTTTCCTTCAAAATTGATTGAGAACTAAGGCATTGCTATGACAGAAAGCACCTTAAGAAATTCATGACCACCAAATCAGTGTTTAAAAAAAAATTCTCAAAGATATCCTGAAAAGAGACAATGAAACCAACAGTGCCAGTGGGTCAAAAAGAATGAACATACCTAGTGAGATGAACAGCTAAGCAAAACAAATAAGGAAATCAGCCACAGGAAAATAATGCAATGACAGGAATCAGTCAATACCTCTCAGTAATAACTGTCAATGTGTATGGTTTCAATTCCCCAACCATATGACACAGATTGGCAGAAAGGATAAAAAAAACAAAACAAAACAAAAAAAACCAAAACCCAATGATATGCAGTATACAAGAAACACATTTAATTAAAAAAAAACATTAAAACTGAAGGATGGAAAACAATATTCTGTGCACCAGAACCCCAGAAAAAACAGCAGTAACTATCCTAATTTCAAACAAAGTGGATTTCAAGCCAAGACTAACCAGAAGAGACAAAAAAAGGTCACTATATATTGGTTAAGGCAACAATTCATTGGGAAGATATAATTATAAACATATACACACCAAATATTGGTGTGCACAACTTCATAAAACAAATATTAATGGTCATGAAAATTCAGATCAACGCCAATACAATTGTAATGGGGAAGCTCTACCAACTGTCACAAATGAGCAGAACAATGAAACAAAAAAATCAACAAAGAAACATAAGAGCTGAACCAAACCTTTGAACAAATGGGCTTATTAGAAATTTGTGGAGTGTTCCATCCAACGATGGAATACACATTCTTTTCAGCAGCACATGGAACTTTCTCCAAAACTGACCACATACTAGCAAATAAAGCATCTTAAGTAACTGCAAAAAAATCTAAATTATCCCATGAATATTATCAGATCATAGGCACAGAAACTAGAAATCAATGACAAAAGACACCAAAAAACTATGCAAACACATGGAAATTAAATAATACTATCTTGAATAACCAATGGGCCACAAATGAAATTAAAAAGTAAATTAGACGGTTTCTACTAGCAAACATAATGTCAATATGATATACTGGAATTTATTAGTTCCAGTGGTGAATTCCTACATCAGAAAAATGAGGAGGCTCAAATAAAGAACCTAATGATGCACATAAAGGTCCTAGAAAAACAAGAAAAATTCAAACCCAAAGCTAGTATGAGGGAGGAAATTATAAAGATCAGAACAGAAAATAATGAAATTGAGATAAAAATACAAAGAATCAATGAATCAGGATTAAACAAAATAGATAAATCCTTAGCCAATCCTACCAAAGAAAAGAAAGGAAAGACCCAAATCCATGCAACTAGAAATGAAAAAGCCAAAGTCACAACGGATTCTGCCAAGATTTTGGAGATTACTGGTACCTACTTTGAGAAACTATAATCAAATGGAAAATTCAGAAAAATAAATTCCTTGAAACATATGAATTACAAAAGCTGAACCAAAAAGATATAAAACTCTTGCATAATCCAATATTAGTCAATGACATTGGAGAATAAAAAAAAAAATACTAAGAAAAGCCCAGGTCTCTATGGATTCCCAGCTGAGTTCTATAAGCACTTTTGAGACAATCTAATGCCAATACTTCTCAAACTCTTTAATGAAATTGAAAGGAGGGAAGCAGTACTCCCCAAGTCATTACTGGAAGCAAGCAGTACCCTGACTCCAAAACCAGAAAAGGACCTAACCAGATAAGAGGACTACAGGGCAATATCTTTAATGAATACAGATGCAAAATTTCTCAGTAAGATACTGGCAGACAGAATGCAGCAAATCATCATCATCATCAAAAAAAAAAAATCATACATCATGACCAAGGCTTCATTCCAAGGATGCAGGTATGGTTCAACATACTCAAATCAATAACTATAATGCATCACATAAACAGAAGCAAGGACAAAAAATCACATGATCACCTTAATAGTTGTGGAAAAAGCATTTGAAAGAATCCAACATGTGTTCATGATTTAAAAAAACCCTGAAGAAAAGAGGAATAGAAAGGCTTTATCTCAATCTGATAAAAGCCATTTGTGACAAAACAACACCAACAATCTTACTAAATGGAGAGAGCTGAAAGCTTTTATTTCAAAATCATGAACAAGACAAGGATGCCCTCTATCACTACTCCTGCTCAATATAATTCTCAAAATATTAGCCAGAGCAATTACATAAGAGAAAGAAATAAAAGGGATATGGATAGGAAAGGAAGAAATTAAATTATCATTATTTGTAGATGACAGTATCCTCTACATAGAAGACTCCCAAACTCCACCAAAACACTTCTAGAATTACTAACCAAATTCAGGAGCATAGCAGGACACAAAGTTAATACTAAAAAATCAATAATGTTCCTGTACACCAATAAGAAATTGATCGAGAGAGAGAAATGAGGGAAATCATACCTTTTACAATAGCATCAAGAAAAATTAAATACAGGAATTAAGCTATCAAAGGAAGAGATCTCTACAATGAAAACTACAGTATAGTACTCTGAAAAAAAAATTGAAGAAGATATAAGATAATGGAAAGATATTCCCTGTTCTTGGATAGGCAAAAACCAATATAGTAAAAAATGGCCAGGCCAATGATTTAGCTCAGGAGTGCCACACCTGCCTGGTAAATGTAAGGTCCTGAATTTCTGGAACCAGAAAAAGAAAAAAGAAAAAAATGGCCATAATTCCAAAACTATACAGATTTAATGCAATCCCAATCAAATACCAGTTCCTCACAGAACTAGACTTGTGGATAATTAGAGAAGAATAGAGCAGAAACAGCTCCTGGAACATTTATGTACCTTATCTTTGACAAAAGGGCCAAATACTTTCCCCAGGGGAGAATACCATCTTTAACAAATGGTGTTGAGAAACCTGGTTATCCACATGCTGAAGATTAAACCTTCACTGTATCTCTCACCATGCACTAAATTAAAATCGAAATAGATCAAAGATCTAAATATTAAAACAGAAACATATCATCTGCTGGAAGACAAAATAGATAAAACTCTGAAGATATAAGTATAGGCAAGGACTTTCTGAACAGAATCCTAGTTGCACAAGTAACACCAGAAATCAACATACAGGGTAACATCAAACTGAAAAGCTTCTGCATGACAAAGGAAACCACTAACAGAGTGAAGAGAAAAACTTCATAATGGGAATATGTTTTTGCCAGCGACTCCTCAAAGGACTAATATATAGCATATATAAAGAACCCCCCAAATCAGTCCTTCCAAATTTGAAGATCCAATAAAAAAATGGGCACCCAGGGCCAGAATTTAGCTCAGTGGTGCCAGTGCCTTCTTTGCAAGTGCAAGGTCCTCAATTTGATTCCTGGTACCCACCCCCCAAAAAATAATAATGAGCATCTGAAATGAATAGATACTTCTCAAAGAAGTACAAATGACAATAAATATATGAAAAAATGTTCAACACCTTTGAGAAGTGCAAATTAAAAAAACATGGAAGGCCGGGGATTTAGCTCAGTGTTTCTGGCACCTGCCTCGCAAGCACAAGGACCCAACTTTGATCCCCAGTACCAAAAAAAGAACAACAACAACAAAAAAAAACCCAAAACAAAAACAAACAAAAAAAAACCCCACAGAGATTCTTTCTCACTCCAGGAAGAGTGACTATTCATCAGGAAGCCAGTAATAGAACAGACTATGGGGAAAAGGAACTCTTCCTCATTGTTGGCTGGAGTATAAACTGGTATAACCACTAAGGAAATCAGTATGTAGATTTCTCAAAAAATTAAACTGGAACTTCCACTTTACTCAGCTATTCCCTTTGTAGTTATCTTCACAAAGGAGTTAATAACATCATACTACAAGGGCTAGGGGTGTAGCTTGGTGGCACTGCACCTGCCAGGCAAGCAAAAGGTCCTGAGATTGATCCCCGGTACCAAATAAAAGAAAAAAAATCCCCAAGACATTATCATACATGCATACCCATGTTTATAGTAGCACACCTCATAATAGCTAACTCTTGGAAGCAGCTTGTATATCTATCAACAGATCGATGGATTAAAAAATGTGGTATTTATATACAATGGCATAATACTCTGCCATAACACAGGGATAATGAGTCATTTGTAGGAAAATGAATGCACTTTGAGGCCATAATTTTAAGTAAATCAGACACACAAGCTTAAGTATCATGTAACTTCTCTTACATGAGAGACACAACAAATAAAGTGCAAAATAAAATACAGAATAGGCAAAAAGAGAAAAGTTATTGTAATCTAGCATGGGCAATGTATCTAAAAGTGTACCTTGACAGTATAATTGTCTTATGTGTTTGTATGTTTTTTTGGTTTGTTAGTCTGACTGTTAACCTGTGCAAGCATTTACTTTATAAGTACTTAGAAATAATTGATGTTGGTTTAAAATAGGGGGACATCCAAGGGAATGGGTAAAAATGGAATTAAGATGTGTTTTGTGCATGTACCAATATCCCACAATGAATATAATCATTATGTACTGCAAACATATAGTAGTAAATGTCGCGCGCACCTCGCCAGCAAGGAGCACGCAACACTCAGGATTCTTCTGATGCACGCTTTATTGGAGCTTCTTCTACATTCTTCAAAATGGCGGAAAGACCCCGAGCCGGATGCGAGCCTGCCTTTTATAGCCTCCCGGGTGACGTAGCCCATTTCTATTGGTCAATGCCGGCCTTCATCATTCTGACGAACCAAGCGCCTCATCTGCGCAGGCGTGAACCACCGTCACCGGCGGACTCATATCCGGAATTCATGCAGGGCATGAAGAACCTGGAAATAATGGTGCGTGACAAGTAAAAATAAAAAAATTAAAACTAAAAAGGAAGTAGGGCCTTTGGGAAGTCATTAGGGTTAAAGGCATCGAGGTGGAGTACCCACAACTGAGTATTTTTGGCTTTATAAGGAGAGAGAGATTAGAACACAGACACATATGCACACTCCTTATCCTTGTCATGTTATGTCCTATACCACCTCAGGACTGTCCACAAGACCATTGTCAGAAGGAAGTCCTTGAATTTCCAAAACTGTGAGTTAAATAAATTCTCCCTTTAAAAAATAAAGTTTCCCAGCAATGGCTATTTCATGATAGTAATGGAAAACAGATGAATACATTAATTAACCAATCAGAAGGAAACGCTGGTTCTGACAGTTGCCTAGGGCTTTTTTGCAGGGTGTGGGTCTATGAGTGGCAAATGAACCAGTTTCCAGAAAATTCTAGATTTGCCATTGTATGCCTATCAGTGGGGTTCTTGAGATTCCACAGTAAAAATGTATTCTGAATCACAAGTGCAAATAACAGTGATCTTACCAAATAAGGAGTGAAGACTGAGAAGGAGATGGAGGATGAGCCTGAGAAAGATGAAAAGAATAATGGAGAGCCCTTCTCAGTCTCCCATTTAAAATGTCTCTGCAAACCTAAATTCCAAGACCTATGAAGAAATCTAATACCAACACCCTTATTATGATCAACAATTGAAACAGTTCCCTTCCAGGTAAATGAAATTATGAGGCATAGCAGGCATAAATGAAATAAAATATATGAGAAAATGAACAGATGAATTTTTGAAATAAAAATATGGGTATTGCAACAAATAAATTGTCAGACAACTCTGGAACAATATCTAAATAGAGTTTATAAACTTGGAGCAAGGGACCCCACCTACTCTCACTTTCAACAGGAGTTCAAGGCTGACGGTAAGTTAAATTTTATGGAGTGAAAATAGGATACTCTGACAAGCATTCTATTAAGCGGGGAGCTTTGAAAGTATGGGAGATGTTTCAATGAGTCTTCAGGTATAGTTGACAGTCCTTGGTTGAAGAGAACAAGTGAGCAGTTTAGGATGTTCCAAAATAATAGTTCAGTGTTAGGGATGGCAGGTGTTTTCTGGGTAAGTTTTTCTGAATAATGAGGGTTTCTGGAGGCTTTATTATAACAGTAGGCATCTGAAGGATGTGTGCCAATGTGACCAGGTCATGGAATGCCTAGTAGCATTACCTAGCTGATAAACATTATTTCTCCATTTGCTTGTTGAGGGTGCTTCCTGAAGACATTAGAATTGGAGTTGGTGGACTAAATAAAGCAGATGACGACCCCTTCCCACAACATGGGTGGGCATCATCCAATCCATTGACACCTGAGAAAGGTGGAATTGCTTCGGCTGGACATTCATTTTTCCTGTGTTGGCCTGTTTCTATGCTTTCACACCCAGGCTGGGACCTACACCATGGGCTTTCCTTAGTCTACAGCTAGCAGTCAGCAGATGGTGGAAATTCTCAGCCTCCAAAGAGCATAAACTGGTATTTTAACAGTAAATTCCAGATGCTTATATACCACTCTACGGATAATTTCCTACTGCTTCTGTTTGCCTAGAGAACCCCAATAGTGTCTTGAGAAATGAGGGCCAGGGCACCCAATGCCCCAAAGACCATATCCCTCTCCAAGATCCTCGGGAACATTACAGAGATCACTGGGTTTAGAACATCATCAGACACTTAGTGTTCTTGATCTTGGAATACAAAACCTAATCACTCTATGTATAAAGTCTAAAAACCTTATGGCATAACAAGCCCAAAGTAAATCTCAAATTTAAAAAGTGAAAACAATTTAAACCCAAATCCTAAACTCTAAATAACATAAACATGAACTTTTTGAAGACTTGTTACTTGCCTTTTGAAGTGATTTAAGGGAATACAATGTAGCTATTTTTTTAAGCGTAGGAGAAATCGAAACAAATTTGCAATAGAAGGAAACGAGAAATGAATTAAGTAGGAACTCAAAGTCCGGGGTAGCAAGGAATGAGGACTGAATTTTGGCGCGGAATCCGCGTTGGCGCCCGGCCCGGCCTCCATGTCTAGAAGAGAACCCCGCAGGTGCCGAGGTAGAGGTATGGAGAGCTCTACGACACGCAAAGGTGGGAGGCGCGCGGGGAAGTGATTTGCTGCCCCAATGGCCGTCTCCGCGAGTTTGCTGCGATCCGATCACGAGAGCTAAAGAGAGCTCCATGGTAAGCTCGACCATCAGTCGGCTTCCAGCAGACTGCGGAGCCGGCTTTCGAAGCAGCTGGACCTCCGGGACAGGGTACCCTCTGGGCAAGCCCCACAGCTCAGCGGAACTTTCGGCCCTGGCGCGCCGGGGGCTGGGTGTATGGGCGCCTGTAGTGAGATTTGGCCCTGACGTCATCGGACACTGGGGGAGGGCGGGGCGGGGCCTGTTGGGCCACGCCCTCCATGTCCTGCCTCTCCTTGACGCCATCGGGTTGCGACCCCGGCAGGGCCGGGCGGCAGGCGGGCGGCTCCTCGGCCTAGCTGAGCTGAGGAGAGAGGCTTGGGGGAG